GGGGGGGGCATGCATTTATACATTTTCATATATATAGATATAGATATAGATATATATATATATATATATTTATTTATTTATTTATTTATTTATGTATTTATGTATTTATTTATTTGTATTTATTTATTCATTCATTTACTATGTATTTATTCATTTATTTATTTATATGCAAATGCAAACCCGAAACTCTCGAAAGGAGAATCCAAAACCCGACACATGGCAAAACCATACCCTCAAGGGGGTGGGAAATGGAAACCCTGAACTGCACAAAAGGCGGGAGCCATAAACCCTAAACACTAGAACGCAAAAGGGCGGGAAGTGACGAAGCTTAAATGCGGACTTGCACAACCAAAGCCCAAAAAGCTCGTCTACCGCCATTAGATGCTGTCGAACAAATTGCATTGACAAGCTGGACAGGGTTGATACCTACTACACTCCACCGGGCCGACCGGCTGAGGTCCGTATCAGTACTTGACAGAAAGAAAAGAAAATGTTGTTTCCTACTTCTCGCTCCAACTGCATCACTCTCGGCAGCACTGATTTCCACGATTGCCGGTAAAAACAATCGAAATCCCGTTTGCCTTGTTTCGGGAAGGAGCGACTGCCCATCCAAGACCACACGGCAAGTTTCGATACAAATCGCTGCCTCGATGACGGTTGGTGCCTTGCAGGAAATTTTTGGACAGTCGCACGTCAATCCGGCCATCTTGCCCGAGGTCACCACCACTGCCTTGATGAGTCTCAAGAGAACTTGACCGGAAGCAAGATCCGTCCCGAGGTTCTTGACCTGAAGCTGTCCGGTTCGGATGCCATACGATGTGCCTCACATCCGTGTTGCCCGAAGCAGCAGCCGTGGGTGGTCACACGATCAAGCGCAATACTTTGTCAAACGACGCCCGCTGTCCAAACCCGCGGCACAGACTCGTACTCTGCCGACATACTGCATCTGAACATGAGCGTCGGAGCAGCCTTGCCGGTGCCACGAGCTCCGGACACCTGGTATGTCAGCTTGTGGAACCAAGACGCCGTAGACCTACAGAGGAGCGTCAAACAGGCGTGTCAAGCTCGTGCTGTCTTCAGTGGGACTGTTGCGGCCTGCAGATTCACCCAGCGTCGTAAGATGTCATACAAGGCCTTGCGGACCAACGATGACACAAAGCTTTGCACCCACTAACTTTTTCGGCAAACGTCGTCAAAAGCAATGTGCCAAACATCACGGTTACAGCACCCAACGACAAATCGCACTACTGCAGAAGCCGTCGCATCCGAGGGAAGATTAAGCCGAACGACCATCTCTTGCAAAGCTGTGAGCGGCTCCCAGGGGAAGCAAAGCCTCATCGAGCGGTGAGGCTTATGTCAGTGCGTGCCAGTGTGCAGCGATGCCAAATTTGTCGCATCACCCTGCCTCGAAAGATCGACGAAGCCTTCCCAAGCACCTCCGACCAGCTTCTCAAACCTTTGCATCTCGAAGTCTCGAAGATTCTCCAAGCAAGGAAGCCAAGAACTCTAAAGAGAAAAGCCCCCGGCATGCTCATGACAGTAGCCATCGAGTTTGCCTCTGATGGCGATGGTTGCTTGGATTCTTAGATACTTCTTTGGGCCCTGCCTCTTTGATCTCCCCTCCTGCCCATTCTGGCCTTACGAGGAGCGCAGTGCGTTTCCCTCAGGTCCCTCGGCCTCTCAGGCAGGGGCTCGCGGCCTGCATCGGTTGAAGCCTGACGAAGCGGAAGAGCGCCCAAATGAGCATCTTTCGCCAGCCAAGCTCTCTGCATGACTAAACACGGACTGAAAGGATGTCCACGTCCACAACAGAATTCAACAGAAACCAGAAAAGCCGGGCACCCATTCACGAACCGCTCTCCGTGTGCCTGCTTGAAAGGTCTCTTCGACGAGTCCTGCCGAGTCGTCAGTCACACTCTCATGCCTCCGCAGCGCAAAGGCAAAAGGCATCCTGGAGACTGCCCGTCGCCTGCGTCAGAGTACAGAGATTAGACGTCAGAGACTTGAAGCTCTGAGCTCATCTGGGCAGACCCCGTTTTGGACTTCTGCAGACCCGCATGTTCTGCTCTCCCTACAGAACCGAAAACCGCTGGCCTCGCGCAAGAGAGTGGTACAGAGCGATGCCCTTACTTGCAAAATCATGACGGCACACATGTCCAATGCCAGGGCTTGCGGCCCCGGCTTCAGCGCAAACCGCTGCCCGGAAACAACATCCAATGGGCTCAGCAGGAACCTGCACGAGGCGAGACAAGTTTGCTTAACATGTCTGACACTCTCGGAAGCAAGCTGACGCCTGGAAATGAGAAGCGGTGACAAAGACACGAAAGCATTTTGCGCAGCGGCCTTCTGTCGCAAGAACGAGGCGTTCGATCGTCGGCAAGCCCAAGGCGTGACAGGTGAAAGCGTTAAGCTCGGTCCCACGCGGCTCGCCGATCTGAGTCTTTCCTGAGATCTTCAAGCAAGGACACACATGGAGCCCTCTTTGTCCACAGTTGAGCAGCTCATCGAGCACGGCGAGATCTTCAGGATCAAAGATCCTCTTATTTCTCCTGGCATGTCACTATCTCTCTGAGCAGGGCCAGGGCCGTAAGGGCTTACGTCCCATAGGCAACTGGCCTGTAAGCCCTGAACATCGCATAAAGGACAGTGAGAATCTTGCCGTCCTCGAAGGCATATCGCTTTTGCATAAAGGATTGCTGGAAACAAAAGAACAAGGGTCTCCTGGAAGAAAGCCTCCAAGGACTTCGTTTGGAGCGTCGGTATCGCACGAACCTCTCGACACCTCTGCAGGGCGAAGGCGGCAGAAGACAGGAGAACAAAGCTTCCAGCGGCAGCCGCCATCGCGCTGTCGTTGTCATCGCCACCACACGATAGCTCGGCATCCGGCCGGAAGCCGTAGCTGGAACTGTCTGCTGCCGCCCAGTTGGACCTGACCAGTGACGAGGACTGGCAGTTCAGTTCATGGCAGTCTTCAGCGGAGCAAGGCCTGCCATTCTCGTCATCCATTGCATCAGTCAGCAACACTGAAGCCTTGTCCACCCAAACCCTACCACTGAGCCGCTGCACCACTCGCACTCCGAGGGGATGACGCTGTGATGCGCTTCTGCCAAGATACCTTGGCAACAAACCACTGTCCCTCGCCTGGCTTACCTCGACATGGGCGGGAAATCAAACGCCATCAACTCAATACTTCCGGGCGTCAACCCTGAAAGGAAAAACGAAAGTGGGTGCAATGAGGATCCGGAAGGACGTGCTGGCCAGAATCAGGACAATCGAAGCGCACACTCACAGACAAGGAATGCTCATACTCCGCAATGCAAACCGCTCATCCGAGAGATGGAACTATGCCTGCTGAAGCGGCAGTTCTACTCATCTGCCAGGGACGTTGACAGCTGCAGAGCCAGAAGAAAGCAAACTCGAGGGCTCGAAAACAACACCTGGTTCGAGCCCGTAGAGGACTTGCGGGTCTCAGACCGTTGAGCCCATCCCAAACCCCTCCACCCTGCGGAATTGGAGAAAGCGGTTCTGCCGAGCTCAGCGCAGTTTATCCACCGGACAAGAATCTCCTGCTTTTTCTAAAGATAACTCTGGGTCGGAAGATGACGTGAAGACTTCAGTCCTCTGCAGGGAGCATGCCGATATCCTGCCAGCATCTCAAGCGCCGAGTGGCCACAAACGCTGCTGTCACCAACCCTCAGAAGCGCCTGCTGCCTTTCCGCAGGATCGGTTGCGAAGAAGATGAGGTCCTGAATGCGAGCCACGAAAAACTGCGCAGAGTCACCTTTCGAAAAGGAGACTTTCGGCTCCTTTCCCAGGAGTTTGTGTCGACAGCCCAGGCTCTGAAGCTTGCTGAACTCCATGAGAAAGTCCATGAAGACCTCTGCATAAAAACACTCCAAGCCTGGCCCTGTCGCGTGGTGCACGTCACAGCTTGCCTCCATGATAAGGTGCAGCGACTGCCTATTAGCATTGCGCTTGTCTCACTGCTTTCCTGCAGCCTTTGCTGTCAGTGCTCAGGCCTTGCTTCAACTGGAGGCATGGTCTGAAACCTGCACACCGGTGATTCTTTGCTCTGGCCAGCATTCGGTACCAGCAACGTGGTGCCTAAAGTCCAGGCGACTTCTTTCCTCTTTCAATGCTCGCATCTTTCGTTCCTGAAGAACGTGCGTGCAGTGCATCAGTGACTTCTTTCCCATGGAAGTCTGAGAGATTTGCGATCAAGTAATGTCCCTCAGCCAACGCGAGGCACTATCTATCACAGAAGTCTCGCAAATGTCCGTGCTGCAGGACTTGAGGTGGCTGCAGTCTTGTCATACTGCACCTCTTGCAAGCTCTTGGTCTTCTTGGCCTCTACACTGGTCCAGGTGCTGACTTCTGTAAGCCCGGCACCTCCATGCCTCAACATCCCGCAAACGGACAGAGAGCAGTCGAAGATGAAGCTTCTTCAGTTGAAGTTCCTGTGCTTACGCAACTTCCATTGGTCATAGCAGACAGCTGCAGGACCGCTTCCTCCTTGGCACGGTTGCAAAGAGCCCCGGAGGTCAGCAGAGACCAGTACGTGAAGAAGACGCCGACATACTGCAGGGCATTCACAGGTTCCTCATTGCGCCGCAGATTCCAAGACCACTGCCTCGCGGTTGATCCGAGTCGACCTCTCGGCCTTCTGCAACTGCTGTGCCGCCATCTTATCCTCACGAGAGCCGCATCGTGCGTTTGTGCGCGTTGTGCCTTTTGCGCGCTGTGGTCCCTGTCTCTCCTCAACGTACTGCAGCCTCCAGAAGGCGAAGGCCCAGCCTCCAAAGACACAAAGGACCCACAAGGGGGCCCTGGTGGAACCGCCCCCTTCTTGGTCGGACCTACCACGAAGCCAGCCGTGAGCTCCTGAACGCCGAAGCAAGGCTTCGAATTTCTGTCTCTTGCCCGTCAAAAAACGAGTCGAGGGCGGTCCTGTGCCAAGCCCAACATGTTGTAGGCCGCGCTGACGGGATCAGCACAATACAGCACAGAACTGGCTTGACAAGGCCCCTTCAAAACCTGTCTGTTCATAATTCTGGAACGCTTGGCCCTGTCTTCTTCAATCACAACAGGGACCAGCACAAGAAAACCATGCCTGGACTGAGCATCAAGTGTGGAGATGATCTGGTTGCTCCACCCTGCAAAAGCAGGTGGAGCACAGCGGAGCCGCGTGAAGCACTTCACGGACGAGATCCAGGCTTATCTGACGCACCAGCTGCGTACAATGCCACCTTGCTATGTTGCTCAATTCTGACATGCCGGAAAGTCATCTGGGCTTCCGAGGCACCTTTGGACATTTGACACACAGCCCATGGGAACGACGTTCACTTTTTCCCCACCTTAACAACAGCAAATGACATTTCCAGGACAGACGATCGTTCTCTGCTACAAAGCCTCCATGTTCAGCTTCTTCACCTGCTGCCCCTTGAGAAGCCCTCAGGCCTCTCCTCCAAAAGGCAACTGAGGCCATTCTATGCAATCCGCTCCGCAGACATGCCCAGCCTTCTGCACCACATCTCTTGGGCAGACAAGCGTGGAGGGGACTCTTCCTGCGTCGTGCAACCCAAAATTGGCTGCATCAAGATGAGTCATCTTCACGACCTGCATCTGCCAGCGATTAACTCGGGCCTCGTATGCACAAAACACCTTCTTCACGCTTCATGCTGTAGTCTTAAGACTCAGACCCAAGCATCACGCACAAAAGCAACCGAGCAAGTAAGCCGGCACACACGCACACTTGCAGGAGCCCGCGCCCAGACTCACATGATCCCACACATTCGTCTCGGTGCCACGCCAGATCCTCCATGACTTGTGCGTGTTGCCTGCGACTGAGGACATTGGCACGAGGCACCCCGTCCACGGAAGCCCTGACCCGAACACAGACGAGCCTGGGCGATCCAATGCTGTCTTCTGAAATTGCAGCATAATGGCCTTTGAAGACCGACTCCCAAAACAGAAAGCAGCTTAAACATGCGAGAGCAAGCCAGCAAGGTCGTCGCTAGCTGTCTTGCGAGCTGTCACGACCTCCTCGTCAGCAAATAGCGAAACCTGTCACTTCCAGTTCAAGTGATTCTAGATGATGGACACAAGGTGCAGCCTGGCCTGAATGTGGTGAAGCAGGCTGGTCAGTAACCAGGTCCTGAGCCGTAAGCGAAGCCATCTGTATGTTTTCCAGCTTCCTGTGCTTGGTACATGAACTGGAGCCATGCGTCCTTGAAGTGCGCAAGTCCGGAGAATTCGTGTCTAAATCTCCGAAGTCCTGGATCTCGAAAGCCTGCTCACATGAAAACCGAAGCAGGTTAACATACTCTTTCTGATTTAAAAGATTAGGATCGAGCCAGGGTCTTCAGCAATTCGAAAGCGAGCTTGGCCGCATGCATCTGAGATTCTGAATCCTGCATCGAGCTAAGTGCTTCGAACGACGTGTTCATGATGCGATGTGGCACTAGCACCGATCAGAACTGCTCGCATTCCAGGTGCCCTGATGATCCCTGCTGCCAAAGCTGTAATTTGCGTGCCTCCTTGCTGTCACACATGACCCGACATCTTGCAAGAAGGCCTTGCGAAGCAGATCGGACATAGTCCAATCTACGTGCTTGGAGGCCTAAATTCTGGATCTAGGACTCATGCCATAAGCAGCAGCACTGCCACCTTTGAGCCAGCCTCTGACAAGACAAGAACGGCAAACATAAAACAGCTGAGACCACAGGGATCTTAGACACAAGCCACCAATCTTCGTGGCCGCCTCACGCTTTCGTGGTGCAATGCTTCCAGCTTCTAGACTGCAGCGCGCACAAAAAACAAACAGGGTGGTCACGCCTTCTTGTCGAAATCCTGCTCTGCTTTCGCCCATGCCGAATCTCTCGCTGACCTTGCCACTGATCTGGAAATTGTGATCTCCGTCCCAAGTCTAACAACGGTTATCGTAAGGGGCAGACAAAACAGCTGGTGCTTGCAGGGACGGCAACTTCCCCAAGGGCAACTGGCATGTCAGCTTTGTCCATCTTTTCAGTACCAATCCACGCAAAACCAACATTCCACAAAACTAGCTGGCAATGCTCGTCTGGCATGTGCACCCACCAATGGAATGCTAAATTGCCTGCCAAACAAAACTTCGACACGACAGCCTCACGACGGGGCTTCCTGAAATGTTCGCAAGCCTGATGGATGTGTGCACTTCTTCGCGTGGCTTTGGAGACCACCTCCGTCTTGGAGGCCTGTGCATGGCACATTGCTTCCATGCTCAGCGTGGCCCGAGGCAAAGGCCCGGGCGAAGGAGCCATCAGGAAGAATGTGCAACATGTGTCGATCTATTGCCGCAAGAAGCTGTAATTGTGAATGCAATGCTAGCCTCATTCTGCCGGCACCCCACATGTGAGAAAGGTGTCAAGGACCTTTAAAGCCCATCATGAACACACTTGGCACCCCACATGACGTACCTCTTCAATCTATTATGCATGCACGCAAGACTGGCATGAAGCCATGTCAAAATTAGCCTGGTGGAGTTACATGGAACACTGTTCAAGACATATAGACAAAATACACAATCTCCATGAAACGGTCGAAATCAGCACGTTCTCAGAGAAACGATAGAGATCTGACGGGACGAAAGTGAAAATTGACTTCCTTTCTCTTCTGTAAAAGTCGTCGGCTGTACAAGTAGCACAATTTGCACGCGTCATCGTTGCGGTCATGCCCTACTCGTGGCTTCAGAACTCATGCCTGAAAGCACAAGCAAATGCACTGGAAACTGCGTGGCAACGGGGACCGATTTACACTAACAGCTCTGATTCTTATCCATGAACTGCACTTATCGGCGCTTTCGCCCGTGCTTCTGATCGAAGTACTCACGACTCAGCTCGTAGAGGATCAGGTCGTTGTCCCCGCAGTGCTCACACGGGAACAAGCTTCTCTCAAGAGCTTGCTGTGCCGTGGCATCCTCCTCCCGGAACGGATTTTTCTTAATTTTTTGAAATTGTTTTTCCTAATATTTCATAATATTTCTAATTTCTACCTCATTTTTCCATGTTCCTATTGCTTTTTTATTATTTTCTGATTAAAGCTCCACATAATCGAAGAGCGCTTCACCGGTGCTTGCAGAGGAAGCAGTAGGACAAGCAGCGGTGGACGTGGGCTCCGAGGTCGTGGCTCTGAAAGGCTGCAATGCCTCTACTCCAGACGCCTGCCCGCCCTGTCATCCACCATAACAGCAATTGCACTTAGCATGTGAAGCAGGCGCACCGAAAAGAATCTTCCTGCCCATGTCGGTGATGGTTCCGGCCAGTTCCGGCTCGGCCCGATGGCACTTTCAGCTTCTTTTGGTGCATCCATTGCTGGATCCACAGGCTCGATGTCTGCATGCTTCAACCTGCCAACGCCCAGCCGATTTGAAATCACACGGGCCACTGAAGAGTCGCTACGCCAAATGGTCGGCCTCGTCCAGAGATCGTCTCCCCGACCGTCTGGGTGATAGCGCAACCAGCTCGGCCTTGCCCGAGCTTGGCGTCACAACTTCCTGCGACGTACACGTGGCCGCTCGAAACTTTTCTTGTCCGTGGCGCGAGTGGGGTACAGAAATATGATTTATCTAAGACTTATTTTCATTTATTGATGGATCAGCTCGGCCTCTATAAGTCCACCGTCATCGCGTTAATAACAGTAACTTCCAAGAGGGCTTTGAGGCTGGAAGGGGGTTCAAGGGGGGCGACCTTCGAAGGCGAAGGTGAGGACGAAGGGGAGTTTCGACGGCGTCGAAGAGGATAAAAGACCAATTGGTCCAGGCATGTCCGCACAAAAAAGGGAAAGCCACACAAAAACGCTTAAAAACGAAAAATGAAGAAAAAAAGTCTCTTCCGTCTTTCCACTCTAAATTGTTAAACCCCAAACCCCAAACCCCACCAAACCCCAAACCCAAACCCTCTGGGCCTCAAGACCTTGCTGAGCGCAACATTGATCCAACTTAGCCTAGAGGCGGTGCAAAAGTTCGACAGACGCACCAAAGTCCGCGGAGAGCTTCACGGGGGGCTTCGGTAGACCAAGGGGGCTTCCATGGCGTCCGCGGGCGCCGGCGCCGTCTCCATGGCTAACGTGAGTGTTGCCTAACTTAACTGCAAACAAAACTTGCCCGAAGGCGGAAAAAGTGGAAAATAAAAAACCTAACAATAAAGCGCCAGAGGGTGATACAGGCCAATGAGGCCAAAGCAGCATGAAAGAAAGTGCCCCCAAGCGTGAAAAGATGTGGCCCCAAGGGCTGTGAACGTGTGGAAAGCTGTGTGTGCAGAGCGCAATTGGCTCCAGACCTGGGCTTTCCGGGGCCGGGATCATCCTGCTGCTCGAGCCTGGGCTTGGAGCATGCTCCATCAAAGTTCGGCGAAGGGGAACTTAAGAAGGGGGAGCTCCAGGGCTTGAGAAGCCCTCTCGCCTCCGGACGGGGGAGAGAGAGGGGGCTGAAGGTTGAAAGGTTAATGCTTCTCCACACAAAAAAGGAAAACCACACGCAAGACGAAAACGTTTTCACCACATACGACCAAATTCAAGCCACGCGAAATCGCTTCAGAAGGTTTAAGCGTGATGAAAACACATTCAATGCAAGTCAAACGAAACGTTATCTCCGCATACAGCAGGAAGCCACACAAAATCATTTCAGAGGGTTCCTTGAAGCCTCGACTCTTCGTCTTTGAAGGCTTCCAGCACAAAGATGACCCTGCCGCCTCGGTGCCTTCTGACACAACTCTGCCTCCTCCTGGAATCGCGCAACCAGTGGCAGCAACACAAGCACCCCGCGTAGTACAGGGCCCCACTATGAGCCTCCAGGTTTACGATAACGACACCTATGTCCTTCGCTCAGGCACTGAGGCTCAAACCCTAACCAAACAGATGTACGATGGATTACTTCAGTCTCATCAACAGAAAGTCCAATCACAGATCTCTATCTCTTCTAATATAACAGGCTTAAGATCCGTCAAATCGGACGACGAGGAACCCCCCTCCTGGGGGGACATGGATCCCGAATTAGTGCAGAGGCTCCAAGCAGACCCCGAAGCGATGAAGGTTTTCATGGCAACCCGACGCCCAAGGAAAGAAGCCCGCCTTGACCCAAGCCTAGGACAATTCTCTATGACCACTGATGTACCTCTCCCTCAAGCCCCTTCGAGCTCCACGCAGCCCCCTGAGATAGGAAAGGAAACCATCAAGGAGGCATTTCAAGAGTACCACTCTACTGTCGTGGGACCAGCTTTGGCTGAGATCCATTCGCATGTTGCCAAAAACATTGCACCCCAGATCCGTACTCTAGAAACCAACAACACTCTCCTGAAAGCCAGCCTTAGTTCGGTGCATAAGCGCACTGTCCTGATACATGGTGTGCCGCCTTTTTGTGGCAAGAAAGCCATAGATGATAACATGTGGTATTTACTCAAAGCTGCAGACCTTACGCATGTCGATATGCAGTCGGTCTCGAATCACCTCCTTACGAGCACCATTTGTTTTATCCGAGTTGTGTTTGTTACCGAAGCAATTGCTAAGCAGTTTTTTTCAGAACTTCCGACTGAGTAAAAGGCACTTCCGCAACCGAGACCCCAAAAATTACACAGCAGATACCCCCATCAAGATCGAACGCGACCTCTCACTGACAGAAAGACTTGAGCGCCAACCCCTGTACGCCTTAATCGATTCGCTGACCAAGGCTCCTACATCAGATGGCACGCCGCTCATCTCCAGCTATCTTAAAATAGATTACAACAGCCTGCAAGCCTACAACACAGACAATGATGAGCTTGTAGCGATGGTTATCTACCTGCCCTCTCG